TCGCTGAGGGGTCCTGTCCCTGTGGAGATCAGTGGATGAGGCTGGGAAGTTGCCCTCCCTCAGTGAGGGCTGTGGCAGGGACCAGTAGGGGAGGATAACCTCCTTTCTCTCACTGTTTAGTCCCGTGTCTCCAGGCTGGGCTACCAGGGGAGCTGCATGGCTTGTGTAGAGCTGCACTGCCATGCAGCGTTCCCTTACTCCTTCTCTTGCACAGGATGAGCTCACCGCTTTAAATGTGAAGCAGGGTTTCAATAATCAGCCAGCAGTCTCTGGAGATGAACATGGTACTGCCAAAAATGTCAACTTTAATCCAGCTAAGGTGAGATCCCTGCAGGGCTTTGAGGGCCAAGCCCCACTGCATCGAGTCCCTCTTACTAGGGTTCCCAGGGGTAGGCCTTGTTCTTAATGATTTCTGCACCCAGACTGGTGATGATTAGTGTGGTGGTTCTAGATCTTGGCCCACAGCCAGGGTCTTTGGGATAGGAGTTCTAGGGTGGACAGGTTTACACTCTTGTGATGATCTGGCCTATCACCTTCCCAAGGCTAAGCTCTAGGAGTGTCTATCCTTCTTTGTGGTGGTGGGCTGCTGTGTTCCCAACCTTGGTGGGAGAGTAGGCTGCTCCGCTCCTGACCCACAGTGTCAGTGATGCGGTGTGATGTGGTGGCAGAGCTTTATCCACAGCTGTTGATAACTAGTACCTAGATGCCCCATCCTGACAGATTACTGGCTCATACATGAGCTGCAAATTAAGTAGGAGGTTAGAACATCAGTATTGGCTTGATGCAGGGACATTGCTGTGGTGGATAAGAAGTTGTATGTTTGGAAGACAGACTTCTCTGTTGGTGCAAACACAAAGCTGGGAGTCATGAGATGCCTGTGCCTCAGTTTGGCCTCCTGTACAATGTGTTAGTGGTCACCAGGCCTCCCTCCCACTGATATCCTCGGATGGAAGGCCATCAGGAAGTGCCAAGTGTTGGGTTCTTCTGCCAAGGAATTAGAGACGTTCATTCCAGCGGTGCTAAAGCCAGGCTATTTTAGCGCTGCAATTCAGAAGTTCCCTTATCGAGGTATTCTCAGTCCTGCTGCAGATAGTCATCTTGTTGATTGAAGTAAAGGGAGCCATTGGCTGTTTTTGGTGATTGGGTTTTGGAAGTTCATGCTAATGAGACTTTGGGGATAATAGCAAATGTATGTAACTAATTAATAAAGCCAAGCCTCTCCCAGAGACTAACAAGGGGTTAGTGTGTAGCTCACAGGACCCAGTTCTGTGAGAGGCTTCTTACCCTCTTCTCTTTTTCAGATTAGTTCAAATTTTAGCAGCATTATTGCAGAGAAGCTGCGCTGCAACACGCTGCCTGACACGGGAAGACGGAAACCTCAGGTGAACCAGAAGGATAACTTCTGGCTGGTGACAGCACGCTCTCAGAGTGCCATAAACAACTGGTTCACAGATCTGTCTGGGACTAAGCCCCTCACTCACCTGGCTAAAAAGGTATGTTGCAGGTGAGGCTGCCAAGAAAGGTAGAACATGTCCTGTCTGAGCTCTTCCCTCACCTGGTTTTGTGGGTATTGTCTATTTTTGAAGACTGCAATGGAGGTTTTGCGGTTAGAAGAGGTTTGTTCTCTCTCCACATCAGATTGGTTATAGTTCTCAGTGTGTGTGTCCAGGACTCATCTTGGGCTGCCTGTGTCCTCCACAGCTGTAGAGCTAAGATTCCCAGTTATTCAGAGACGAGGCTAAACTTTGTCTCATGGCATGTAGAGCTTGAATGTTTCATTTGAATTTCGATTGCTTTTAGGGGAACTGCTGCTGCCTACCTTTATTGGCCTCATGCTTAGATGAGGGTAGTTCATGCTGCTATGGTGTTTTCAAGTTCTCAAAGATTGTAGTGAGATTGTCTAGCGATAACTAGCTGAATGACTTCCCACACTCCTGTGTCTGTGGCAGCCTTCTTACAGGGAAGGGCTCTGTGTATTGGCCTGGTGGAGAGCTGGTTAAGAAGAGCATTTACATTTTTGTGCTCCAGGAGCTAGGCCTTGATGCTACCATAGTGGAGCTGGAATGATGAATTCTCCCAGGGCTGGATGAGGAAAGAAAGCTCTGTCTTCTGTAGAGGTGGGGCTATAAACAGGGGGCTTGTGAGCCTGGCAGTGGTTGTGGGGAAGCTTAGTTCCTATCGTTGTAGCAGCAGAGTGTATAATGTAGAGGCTAGAGCAGAGGTAGTCAATTTATTTTTTGTCAAGGTCTAAATTTCTTAGTCCAGGTATAATCAAGGTCCAAATTCCAGAGAAAATAATAAAACAACAATGATAATAAGTAAATAAAAAGATTTCGGGGTCCATTCAAAAGCGTCTGGTGGTCTGGATTTGGCCCATGGTCTGCCTATTGACTACCTCTGGGCTAGGGTTTGCCAGGTCCTGGAGTTCAGGGCCCCTGTGGGTAAAAGTCAGTTTTCACAGGTTGTTAGTGTGTCTTTTGTACTTACACACTTCTTGACTTGTTATCCACCCTTCCCTTAAGAACTGTGTTTATGACAGACCTGCCTCTTTGCAGTACCTTTCCCCAGTTTCCTGCTTCATTTCTCATGTGTTGCACTTCAGCTCTGGTACTGTTGCCTGCTGACCCAGGAAAATGTTCTTTATGTTGTAACTGCCCTGATGGAATGGCGCAAGCTGTGTGATACTTAGTTTGTGCACGGTTGTCCAGGCACAAGGGTGATAGTGGATGTTACTCTGGGGTGATTCCTTTCTGGATCCTCAGAAGCTAGCTTTTCCCTTTTTCTGTTCTGTTCTAGGTACCCATCTTTAGTAAGAAGGAGGAGGTCTTTGGTTACTTGGCAAAATACACTGTTCCAGTGATGAGAGCAGCCTGGCTGATCAAAATGACTTGCGCCTACTATGCTGCCATCACAGAAACTAAGGTGAAAAAACGGCACGTCATTGATCCCTTTATCGGTAAGTGACTTGAGTGGAGTCCTGGCCTTTTCCCTACCAGGTTTTCTTTTCCTTGCCTGTTGTTGTGCTTGCACCTCCTCGATAGAATAATAGTCGTTAAGGATGAAAAAGATCTATTTGGCCACATCTGCCCTAGCCGGGAGGGTATATGCAGTGTGGTTGTAGCCAGGTGCGTCCCAGGATGTTACAGAGACAAGGTGGGTGAGGTGACCTGAAAAAGAGCTCTCTTTGGCTCAAAAGCTTGTCTCGCTCACCAACAAAAGTCGGCCCAATAAAATATATTACTTCACCCACCTTATCTCTCTAGCCAGGAGGGGGCAGCACAGGCTTCCTTCTACTGGATCATGACTGCTGTTTTCATCCTTCTAGTTACATCCCAGGCAATGGGGCTTCAGCCTGTTCCCTTGGACAACAGACAAATACATCTTCCTGAGAACGAATATTTTCTGATAGTCTTTCACCGTTCACTCTCATGACTCCTTCTTACACCCTGTGTGTTCCTCCCCTGAACAACCCCATTCCCTCCTTGGTGTTTACACCTTTAATATATTTGTGGACTGTAATGTCTGCCCTTAGGTGTGTCTTAGCCAAGCTAGACAGATTGGTTTAAGGTTATTTCTCCCAAAATGTATTAGCTGCATTTCCCCAGCAGAATCTCATTCTGTTATTTCCTGCATGTTTCCAGCCGCGCTGGGCCTCTTTGGATCATAGCTCCGGCTTCTGTGGAATTCCAGGATCCTTCCAATTAGCAGCATACGGGAAAGCCTGTCTGTTATGGTTTATACTGCTGCCCATCAGGATATTATCTGAGCACTTACCACGTAAAAGAAATAGCAAGAGGGACTTCATGAAGTCTCTGCTCCTCTCTCTTTCTGGGACAAAGACTACACTCTAGCTTTTTTATTTTATTGGGTTGGTTGATTAATATGTTTGTTTGCAGAGTTTTGTTTTATTTAATCTCCTGATCTCTGGAAGCTTTTTCCACAGCTCAACCCCTTCAAGCATGCTTTATTCCCAGCTCTCACCTGTCTTGTCCTGGGCTTTGTGATCTGAATCATCCCAGAGGAGCCAAAATATCTTGACAGTTCATGGAATGAAATTTGGGCTTAATGTATCTGGGACATACTTTATTAATTGCTTTGAAGATTAAGACCAAGGCCTTGAACATGTTGCTGACCCCATCTCTCAGATCACTAATGGGGATGCTACATCAGGCTGTCCTGACCCTGTCCCCTCCTGCTTCCCTCCATCCCTTTGCTCTTGCCAGATCTTCAACAAAGGCGTTTAAGGAATCTTCCTTCCTAGCGAACTGCTGTCCTGTATTTTGTGTGTTAAAGACCTGCTTTAAAATGCAGTTCAGAATATGTCCCTTGTTCTCCTCCTTTCCCTGGAACCCACAGGTGTATCTCTTTCCTTGTGGTTTTTCTTCCATCACAGGAACTCTTTGACTCTCCCATTCCTCTTCCTGCTTACCTACTCACTGATGACTGTCTTCTTCGTTCCAGAGTGGACACAGATCATCACCAAGTACCTGTCAGAGCAGCTGCAGAAGATTTCTGAGTTCTATAGGCAGCTCTCTGGGCAGGGTTGTGGTTCACCATCTGGGCCCATGCCGCAGGAGGTGGAGCACGCTTTGAAACAATGGGACTATAATGAGAAACTGGCTATGTTCATGTTCCAGGTGAGGTGTTGAAGGGAGCTGCTGGCTGGGGTGGGGTTTGCAAGGGATACTCAAGGCTCAGAAGTAATTTGTTTTTGCAGAATGTATTCCATCTCTGAGCCCCTGGGTGGCCCAGCAGGAGGAATAGGGGTAGAATAGCTCCAGGATGCTCTTCCTTTGGTCCTCTCACTCTGTCTGTCTGTCTCCAGGATGGGATGCTGGACAGACACGAATTCCTTACCTGGGTGCTTGAATGCTTTGAGAAGATACGGCCAGGAGAAGATGAATTGTTGAAACTGCTCTTACCTCTGCTGCTGCGGGTGAGCTTCAGGAGAGAACTACCTGCTCCAACATGGCTCTGGGGAGCGCAAGCCGCCTTGCACTAGCCTGGGGTGTTTTCCCAGCTGAGTGCCTTCCCCCCATATTAGCCACCAGCTACCAGAAGGGAATGCTGCTTATCCCACTGCTTTCTGCTACTGCAAGGGGCTTTGTTCCAGCTCCTTGTCCCTGCCTTACCTGTAACGGCTGGACTCTTGATGGCAATAGTGTGTTCATTGGATGGAACTGAATAGAAGTGGCTTTTCTCTTCTGCTCCCGTGGCTGGTTCCACTAGACCCCCAAGCTCCTGAGAAGGCAGGGACTGGGTGCATTGAGATCAAGGGAGATGTTGCCCATGGTGCTGTGTGAATCTCACTGGTGCTTAAGCAACATTGTGATGACATTTTCCCCAAGGGTTCCCCTGCTGTTTAGGCCTTTGCTCTGGGCGAGGCTGTGGCCCTATCCGTGAGGCACGACTGCACAGGATTGGCTCTGGGGACTTCTCTAGTGTTGCTTGGAACTGGGATGGTTTTTCCTTCTTCCCCACAGTACTCTGGAGAGTTCGTGCAGTCTGCATACCTGTCCAGGCGCTTGGCCTACTTCTGTACCCGCAGGCTTGCCATGCAGGTGGACGGCACGGGTGGGCACCTGCCCCACATCCTATCCGCACAGACGGGAGCTGCCCTCCCGTCAACACCCGCCCCTCAACCGGCTGCAGGAAATCCTCCCCCTAGTCCCTTCAGTGACTTGCTGCTCTGTCCCCAACACCGCCCGGTGGTATTTGGGCTCAGCTGCATTCTACAGGTAGGGTTTTGCTGGGTTAATATCAGTGGTGAAGGAGGCTGGAGCTCTGATGGGTCAACAGAAGACATTCTGGTTAAAATATTAGTATGATGCAAAATCATCACAGTACCTACTAGAAACTGGCTGGCTGGTAGAGCGGGGATCATCACCAAGAGAGTGTTTCTAGTTGGATCCCACAGGCACCCATTGTTGGCCCAAAACTCTCTAATATTTTTATCAGTGATCATTCCTGGTAAAGTTTGCTGATGACACAGACTAGTTGAGATGGTAAATAACGATGAATGGTCCCTGGGCGCAATATGCAGTTCACTATGGCAAAATACAAGGTCTTGCCTCTGGGAATGCAGAATGTAGGTCACAGTTGAAGGATGGGGGACTTTATTCTGGAAAGCAGGACTTGGAAAAGGACTTAAAGATAGGACTTAATATAGGCCTAGGGAGGTGGTGTTACCTCTCTCTATAGCATTGGTGAGTCCATTACTGGGATGCTGTATCCTGTTCTGGTGCCCGCACTTTAAAAAGGTTGTTGAAAAACTGGAAGCGGTTTAGAGACAAGCCATAGTGATTAGAAGAGTGGAAAGCCTGCCTTGCAGTGAGTGACTGAAGGAGGTCAGACTTTTTAGCGTACTGAAAAGTATGTTAAAAGAAAGGTGTCTTGATCATGGTCTATCAGTATCTACCCGCATGCGGAGAAGATTTCTGATAGCAGACGGCTCATTCATCTAGCAGAGAAAGGCAGAACAAGATGCAATGACTAGAAGTTGCATCTTGATAAATTCAAACTGCAAGTCTGGCATAAATTAACCATTGGAACAAGTTAGCTAGGGATGTGGTAGATTGTCCATCACTTGGAGTTCTTATATCAAGGCTTGTTGACCTACTGAATCAGACCTACTGAAGTCCTGGGCTTGGTGCGGGAATCCCTTGGTGAAATGCTCTGTCCTGTATTATGTGGGGTGTCTGACTATGGAATCTGTGTAGCAGTGAATAAGAAACCCTGGGGCTCCAGGATTTGGGCTACACGCATCCCCCATCACGCTTCTGATTTATTTGCTAGTGAGTCCTCTCTGTGTCATTAATGTAACTGCCATGGCCGGGCTAGCCGGGGAAATTCACGTAGTGTTATTGTGGGTCTTTATGAGCTGCATGCACCAGCTTCTCACTAGCCTAAGGCAACATGGCGTTTTGGCCTTGGCTACCTAAACGTGTCTAGTCTAAGTAAGCCAATGCAGTAAATGCTGGGTAGCTTCCTGCATGGAGAGAGGGCACCTCTGTACCCCAGCACGCTCTCCAGCCTCGAAGCTCTTTCAGATGGGAGCCTATTCATAGGTGTGGTGAGGCTGAGGCTGGGGAGTGTCTGTACAGTCTGGGAACAGCCCTGCTGGGTGCTCTCGGACCCAGGAGTCAGGCTTGGAGATGCTCAGTGCTTCTGCTTTGGCTGTCTGATGCAGAGTATCATCCTGTGCTGCCCAAGCGCTCTGGTCTGGCATTACTCCCTGACTGACAGCAGGATAAAGACTGGCTCTCCACTGGACCATCTGCCTATTGCCCCCTCCAACCTGCCCATGCCTGGGGGAAACTCGGCCTTCACCCAGCAGGTGAGCAGCTTTCAAAGGAGGGAGTGTTGGGGGCCCAGGACGTTAGCACCTACCCCAGTCCATTCAGGCTTATCTCTCCATATTAAGCAACAGCACCTCTGGCTGTGCTCCTGCCACTCCTGAGCCTGAGCAGCTGAGGCACTGAGAGATGCAGGAGGCCTCTCCTCCCTTTGTGCTGCAAGCAGGGCACCCATGGACCTGGGGGGTGGGCAGAATCTCTTCCCTTGTGCCTGAGGCATCCAGCGCCCCACTTGGGGATGGGCGGCGTCTCTCTTGCCTTGTGCCTCAGGCAGGGCAGCTGGCATTCCCTGGGTTCTGCTGGCAGCTCTTTGTGCTGCAAGTCTATTCTGGCCACCCTCGCATGTGTTTATGGAATTCCTTTGCCTTTAGGTTCGGGCGAAGCTCCGTGAGATTGAGCAGCAGATAAAGGAGCGTGGCCAGGCAGTTGAGGTCCGCTGGTCATTTGACAAGTGCCAGGAAACCACTGCAGGTAACTTACTGCAGGATCTGCAGTCTCTTCTCCCTGTCCCTAGCATCAGATGTGTTAGCCTGAACCAGTGCCCTAAGGAGCTCCATGTCCAGTCATCCTCTCTTTGGCTTGTCTCTTGGCCACATTTCTGCTCGTTTGACCACAGTGAGGAGAATGCAGATGAATCTCGCTCTTTCCCAGGCTCAGAGCTCTGTGGGGATCAGGCCCACGCGCAATCACAGGTTGTGTCTCCTGTCTCCCGTGCTCTGAGCTCGCAGAGATTTGGGGCTTTGCCTCCTGTGTTCCTAGGTCTGTGATACCAATTGCCCAAATGCTTGCTTATGCACACTCCCCTTTCCTTCCCTGTCCTGCTCCAGGATTCACTATCGGCCGGGTTCTGCACACTTTGGAAGTTCTGGACAGTCACAGCTTTGAGAGATCTGACTTCAGCAACTCTTTGGATTCCCTGTACAACAGGATATTTGGGCTGGGACCAAGCAAAGACAGTCATGAGGTGGGTGATGGGCCACACTGGTGATGCCCTGTGCTGGTGGTGGTGGGTGCAGGTGCTAGTCGGGGGGTTGTTCTCTTTCAGGTTTATGTCCAGCTGGCACCATGAGGGAACTAGCTATTTGGGTGCCACATGAAAAGTGGCCCATTGCAGACAAGACATTGGAACTCCATTGGAGGGGGTGTCTACGCAGCCCTGGGTTAGGGAGAGAGCCCATGTAGAGAGAGTGAGGTGTGCATTGTGAGAGCCTATGGTAAGGGCTGCCTGTATTTCTGAGGGAGGGGAAGCCTGTGCAGGCACGGGGGAGGTGGTGTCTGGTGCTGCTGAGTAGCATTCCGTACAGCCGACAATGACTGTCCTGAGCAGAGGCGCAGCCCCAGACCTCTGTGAAATGGGAATTGCCTTTGATGGGGGGTGAGTTCTTTGACCTGTAAAAACATGCTGTATAAATACACGAAAACCAAATGTTAAACAACCCATCCAGGAAATGACAACCCATGCTAATACCGCGGGGGTGGGGGCGGAGGAGGCTGTGCAGGGAACTTCCAAGGGCAGTTGACTTTGGTCCTGCTGGATTCAGGGCCACAGGCTGCTCTTTGGAATCCAGGAGCTGCTAGGTCATGCTCTTTTACCACAACTGAGCATGGAAAGTAGCATGTCCTGGAGAGCTGGGACCCGAATGACTAGAGGTTTGGAGGTCAGTCAGTATCAGCACCCACAAGGAAACTGGGATCCAGGGCAGTCTCTGAAGGGCTGGGGTAATGTGCTTGGTGAGCTTGGCCCCAGCCTGACCCCGAAAAGGAGGAATTCTGTGAAGAAAGCCCTGCTTTGGGATTTCCCAGGGGTGTGTGGTGGAGACTAGCAGCTGCTGCTGGAGTTCCCCCACTGTGTGGTCTGCATGGAGCGTGGAAACCGCGCTTCAGACTCTGACTTGGTGTGTGTTCTGTGTGTACTGGGAAGAGAGGAGTGTGACGATGTGGTTCTGGCGGAACCCAACTGAGAGTGCCAACTCAG